CCTGGAATGTTGCATCCATAATTCTGGCCCAGAAGAGATAAGTGAATTTTCAGCATTTTCCCATACGTCAAGCTTATCAAAAAAAATCTCAATGACTTCATTAAGGCCTACGACCTACAAGTAAATGCATTAAATAAAAATACACATAGTAAGTAAATACAAGAAGAATCGGGGTCATAAGCATGCAGTATTTTCCAAGCGTTCCATGCACTCCCGATCATTGAGGTTCACATGACGAACGTTGCTTTGTGATCTCCTTCCCCCCCTACAATTAACTGCTTGATATCGGATTCTTTATTTTCCTTTCCAAAGTACTTACTAAAAGAAAATGACTGACGTTCTTAACCGTACTAAATCCTGAAGTGACCTTCATCTTTGCCTTTCAAATGCCTTTGGTCATGCTTGACCAAAGGCATTCATTTTCGTACCGAAGCACTTTCGCCGTCACGGGCAGCAATTATTCCAAAGATAACGGGATTATGGGCCCTACAGTATTACAGGCTCGATCAAACGTTAAGAACCTATACGAAACACTAGAGGAAGGGGGGGATGTTAATTGACGAACTATAGCCTAAGAAATAAAAGGAAAGGTTTCATGAATGATTTTCTTTTACTGACTGCAAGAATTGGCATGATTTAGGACTTCACTGGAATGCACATGCTTGACCAAAGGCATTCATTTTCGTACCGAAGCACTTTCGCCGTCACGGGCAGCAATTATTCCAAAGATAACGGGATTATGGGCCCTACAGTATTACAGGCTCGATCAAACGTTAAGAACCTAGGCTTACTTGTATACTTGTACGCGTTCCGCTTGCTGGTGTACTTATTATCTGCACGGAGGAGCGATTGAACCACGTGGGCGATTGGAGCGCCAACTATAGGGAACGCACCTTTGCCGTCAATTAGGGAATTCCGTCGGGTTTTATTAACCCCTACCCTTGCCCGGAAAGGGGTTAATGAGCCCGACGCACCCGGAGCTCTACGTACACCTACTACAGTTTTTTTTTTAATTTAAATTAGTTGAGTTCAGTGGCGCAACCAGCCCTAAAGTTGGGGGGGGTGTTCGAAGTTCACATGACCTGTCGTTTAAATGTCTCTGAATGCAAGAGGGTGTTATCAAATCATCAAGAGAGATGTACTCAACAAAAACGCGAAACGGCGCGAACACGCGAACAAAGAAAAGGAAACGAAGAAAAATGTTATGAAATGGTAGAAACGGTATTTGAACACTAAATGATGAAAGTACATTCGATATCTGAAAAAGCTTAAAATGAACTAAATTAATTTCGGGATTCTGCGCAGATGTGCAACTGGATATTCATTAACCTGTATGACTCACGCCTTTTATTTGAATTGTCCTGTTTTCTGAAAAAAATTCAGTAGCGTCACATGTGACGGACGTTTCCTTGACAGTTTCATTTTGCTAAATGAGTTGCTGCATTTAACTGGCATGACCTTCACCTTTCACCTCCTATCTTTGTGCCTTTCCAGCCTCGCTCTCGGGTCGTTTGCTCATGATACCTTTCTGCGTCCCCCACCCCCGGGGGAGAGAGGGGATGGAGAAGTAGAGGGATACCATTATGAGCAGGGGTTTGGGGAGGGTTCAGATCGCCCGATCCCCCCCTTGGTTGCGCCCCTGGTTGAGTTCGACACGGTTTCACTTGACTTCGAAATGTACAGTACATGCATGGTAAGTGCTGAATACGCGTGCCGAAGCCATCTGGGGCATGTCGAAATGGTTTGGAGAAAAGGAACAGTAGCAAGAATCCCTGCTCGTTCCCGGTTGACCCGACCAGGTGACTCTTGGTACAGTGCTTTTCACTTGAGTCAGACTTGGTAGAGCAACCTGAGAAAGACGTTTCTCCCCACTAAATAAAGCTTTTAATCTCCTGCGTTGGTCAAACAAACAATCCAAGGGCAACAGTAGCAAAACGTAACAAGGGGAGAGTCCCGCCAACTCTAGTCTAAATACATCATCGGCCCAATACCCCACTCCCACGGAGACCCCCGTGAACTGACACATGTCATACCGTACCAAAGTAGACCCCGGCAATACCATGTAAGATAAATCATCCGCATTTCTAGCCCACTATGTGTTGCGTTTAAAAGTGTCCACAAATGCCTTATGAATGTCAATGTGAATATCTATTTTGATGTTTTCAATTTTTCTTACTAGACTGTTTCTATCCTCGGACCTGGTCCTTTTGAGAAAATAAATTGAATTGAAATTGAATTAAGTTCTAGCTCCCATTTGGCGACATCCTGGATATACAGGGTGTTCCATTTAAAGCGCAACCCAAAGTACAACAGCAATAAAACAAGACATATGAATTGTTTGATAGGAATTTTAGGAATAATATTACAAGAACATACGGAACAGCTTCACAGCAGATGCTGAAAATATCCACCACCTTCTCGAAGACAAGACAATACTTCATTTTTGTACCGTAATACGTAATTGCTGTTGGGTTGCGTTTTAAATGTAACACACTGTACCTAAACGAATTCATGGCATGTCTTTTTCCCAAGCGGCTCTGCTGCTTCTGCTGAGGCCTCCACCATCCTATGACTTCATGTTAGGGCTGACCTGCTCAGTGCGCGAGCGGTCCTGCAATGTACCGCTGGCCGCTGTTTTGCTCGAAAGTGACGTCATTTAGCTCATTCGCATCCATCTGTTTAATTTAAATACCTTAGTTCACCAGCCACTTTTACAATAAATTTAAATTTTACAAGATATTGAGCAAAAACAATCAACTCAAATATCTTTTAGGCTACAAGGAAAAAAGCATAGGTAGCCGTACGTAATCGTACATCGTACGTCAATGGTAATAATGCTCATGAAATATGTTCGTATCAGTACGTCATTGGATGGGAAGGGGTTAAATGTGTTCGTATCAAGCGCTGACGGAAAGAGGTGTATTTTCTGCCACCAGCTGGAAGCGGCTTGGGAAAAGTCACGCGCTCCAATCGCAGGCGTGACTGGGGAGGAGCATGGCGGTTCCCATGCCGGGATTATAGACCCAAATCTTGGTACTCTGATTTCACGATGAGTTTTCACACCTTTGATACTACAAACGATTATGTTCTGTGGGCCTACCGACGCCAACAGATCTAACGTTTCCTCTGGTCTTGCATATAATGTGGATAGATTCGATAGATGTTCTTCAGGTTCGGGACACCAGTAACGTCACCGCATTAATCGGAGTATGTGAATTCATCGCGAAATCACCGTAGTAGAGTACGTTACGCTATGTAGTAATCTCGCTTCGGGGGTAACACACAACTCTCTGCCCTCCTCTTGGAGGTAAGAGTACAGAATACCTTTCAAAAATTCGTTCCAGTCATGGACCTAATTAACCAGTGGGCTGCCTGCCCCTTGGATCCTAGAACCAACAGAACCGTGGAAGGGTGCTTTTCTCTGAGGGATCATGATGTCAGGTGTGGTGCTTGTGGGAAGCAGACACTCCGTCCTTTGTGCGTGCCATAGTGTCTGTTTTAATTTGTGTCTGCTCCATCTTGTGTCTAATTCTTTACATTTAAAATATATTAGTCACTAAAAGGTCTGGGTACCTACCACTTATATCTGAGATTCAGGATTCGAACTCTTTTGCTCCATAATTGGCAGGGAATCATTAGAGTTTGATGAACCCTCTTTATGCAAAGCTTGGAAAACATCACAATCACCCTTTAACCCTTTTACACATGGTGTCCACTATAGTGGACAGCAAAATTGCTGGCGATGATGATGCTTTTTTAGCCATAATAAACTTACCTCAAAACTTTTGGTGTATGAAGTCAACTCAAATCTCTTCTGTGTTGCTTTCCAGTGTGAAACATGGGACTACTATGGCAGAGTACCACCTTAAATGTTAAACCAAAAAATACATTTTTATTTTGCTTGAAAAATTCATATGCAAAAGGGTTAAAGAGCAATAACCAATTCACCTCATGATCATGGAACTACTTGCACATGTGATAGGTTGGTTTAAAATAAATAAAATCCACCATTTCATGAAAAGCTTGCACCTTTTATGTGTAAGATTATTGATCTGGAGGAACTGTTAGTATCTTGTGTTTGTAATAACATATTCATATCATTCTTGGGTTATGGGATTGTGGGTCTATGAATCCCCTTCCCTCCATGATTACACCCTGATATTGGACCCTCACTGCCATGGGGCTTCTTTTTTCATATATAAAACTAAGCCTTCATAATTCCTAATTTCACCATTTAGTTTTACCCTCAAATGGTTGACCAAGAAATCACATAAATAGTCATCCAATTTGATTGTGGTCTCCAATGACTGTGTAAGGATTAGGTGAATTTTTTTCAGGAAAGGTAAAAGGGGGCTTTGGACATAACAATTAGCACTGAGATTTAAATCACAAGCAAATAGGCCATGTACTCTCAGTATCAATAGGGATGTGGCAAGAGGAAAGGGACTAACAGGACTACAAATACAAAATGCAATTTTCATGGGATTTTAGATTCTCAGGATGATCTCTTCTTTTTGATTTTTTGCATGTATATTAATCTTTTTTATTATTGAAGATTCAATAAAAACTTAAGCCCATGGTTGTTGTGACCTGGAAATCATGCATGCACTTTGGCATGGCTTGCACTTGATTTACCTGTGAAACTTTGAAAGCACTTTTCATTTTAAAAAAAGAAGAAAATGTCCTTGTTTATCCCTTTTCTTGTTCCAGGTCATCTTTGAGGAAAATTTGAGGTAGTGGGAATATGAGGACAGTCACTTTTGCATATATATGGTAGCCACTTGGGTATTCAATTGGCACCAGCCCGGCATTGCTTTCCATATTTGAACCCAAATTCATATAGACCTAAATGTAGGGAATTCATGTCGTTCAAATGCCTTGAACCCAATTTTTATTTTAGTAGTTTTCATATAGTCCTTCATATATGCCTACCTAAACTTGAATTGTGGTGATGATTTTGGGCTATACCTGGTATGCCTTCATGTTCTTCAAAAATTATGATGTGTTCATTGATTCACAGGTGATGAAAAGGGTGCTGTGGTATTAGCTGTATATATTAAGTTTATCACTCTCAGACGTCCATCTCTGGGCTCTCAGATAGATCACAGGCCCAGTCTCAATCCTCAAGATGGAACTGGAAAGTGATGTTGAACGAATCTATAGAGCCCTTGACCTCTCTGAAGCAATAATCAACCAGAAGGGAAAGTCAGAGTTCACTGAAGAGGAGTTGGAACGGCACCTACGAGCTTGTGAGAAAAAGATTGGTCCCATGAGCTCCTCCTTTGTTTTCCCAGATGGTGAGTGATAGTCCAGTCCCAAAGATCTCAGTGCTCTAGTCCTTGGTGATAATCTATACTTGTCCTTATAGATGGAGAGTGGCTTAATGTAGCAGAGCCACTGGCATGGGAGCACCACTTGAAGGGCAAAGTGGTGGTGCTAGATTTTTTCACCTATTGTTGCATCAATTGCATGCATATCCTTCCACTGTTGTCAAAGTTGGAAGAGACACATAGCAAGGAAGATGGATTAGTGACTGTAAGTATCAGAATCTTGTAGGAATATGCATTTTTATGACTTCATGATTATTCCTTGTGATGATGTTCCTGTTCCTTATTTAACAAGCAGATCTAACTCTAGGATGGCAAAAAAACAAGAAATTCCCCAGGATTTCTACAAGACCTGCTAATATATATATATTTTTTAATTTTGAGAGAACTCTTCTGTATGCAGTGAAACCTGTAATATGCTTAGTAATAAGTCAGTTAATTGAGTTAAAAGTTCCAGCTAACAATGCACAGGATGTTGCATCAGTTGTGTGAACATAGTCAGACCACCATAGGTGGCATGATGTGCCCACTGAAGATACCTGGCTCTGACAGATTGAGAACAACTACTGTTGAGTGAAATTGGCTTACTGCTAGTGGAATGGTTTTGCTTCTTGTTATTGGTGCAGAAAATTTAATGGATTGTGATTTTAATAATTTTTGTTGTGAACATTTTAGAATTTTCTAGTTAATAAGCATGCCACATTTCTCAACTGAAGACAAGGCTTTGATCCAAGTCCTTTACACAACTAAGGCTTATGATGCTTGCCCATAACTGGAGAAATTTCACTATCATGGGTAAACACTGGCCAGCTTGTCTCAATTATTGAAGAATGTTAATTCATTCAGAAGTCTGTTTTTACAAATGATTTCTCATTAAATGCAGAGAGAGTTACCAAAAATTGCTCCTAACTTTCACTTGCAAAAGTGTTTTTGATGTCTGATTTCATAAAAATCTCATTCCTGGAGGTACTCTACCCCTGGTAGTCTTGGCTATGTTCATCCAACTCCCATGGCATCCTGTGTGCTGTTGGCTGTAACTTTAGACTCAATCATCTGATATTTACTAATAATATGTGCTAAAACACAGAAAGAGTTGCCAGTCTCATCAAATTTTAACATATGTAAGCTGATCTCAGAGAAAAGGAGAAAAGCTCCTTCATAAGATGTCCTTTCTATTTTTGCCTCTGTATAATAGTTTATTTATAAAATGCACAAAATTATATTTTCTGGATGAATGGAATACTTGGAAGGAAAAATGTTGTTTGTAGGTAAGTTAAATGTTTAAGAATGTGGGGAAATTTGAGCATAAACCTGAGAGAAAAGAAACTTTGTCATATTCAAATTACTGGTTGGTTTACCTCAATATTAACTGACAAATTCATNACTTGGAAGGAAAAATGTTGTTTGTAGGTAAGTTAAATGTTTAAGAATGTGGGGAAATTTGAGCATAAACCTGAGAGAAAAGAAACTTTGTCATATTCAAATTACTGGTTGGTTTACCTCAATATTAACTGACAAATTCATACAAAAATATAAAATTGCTTAAAAACGTCAATTCTAGGGTTACTTCCTCCATTATGTTTGGCTACTTAGAGTACTTTCATAGTTCCCAATGCTGTTTAGGGAAGGATCTTCCATTCACATGTCATAGTAATGAATAATAATTGTGTTTTTATCTTTGTATGAGCTGCAAAATAAATTACTTTGACATTGGAGGTAGTGAACCCCTTTATTTTGTAACTTAAACAATATTGATTCATCTTCATCAGATTGGAGTCCATAGTGCCAAGTTTGAGAATGAGAAAATTCGAGAAAATGTGGAGTCAGCAGTACAGAGATATGATATCAGACATCCAGTCATCAATGATGCCCGTTGTTGGATGTGGAGCTACCTGGGAATCATGTGCTGGCCAAGCCTTGCAATATTCAGTGAGTACACATATCACATAAACAAGCACAAGATGTTGCAGAATTCAGGAAGCAGTGTGGAATATGTAATGACTGCATTTCTGGAAATGATGAAGGTAGGAGTGGGTAATCAAACTGGTCAGTTAAAAGCCTATCAATTGACAAGTCATATGACTTGTCAGTATAGTCATTTATGGTCAGTAAGGCCCACTCTGGTATGGTTTCTTCATCCACTGTTTGTACTCCTCCAGAGAACTCCTCAATTCTAAGTGGTGAAACATTCCAGTTAAGATAGTGTTTAGCTTCTGTCTGTTGCAAACCAAATCAATTCATTCCCCATAATTTCAAGATATACCTTTTTAAAACTCCTTCAATAATTTATAAACACCCTGTATATCGGGGGGCTATCATTGCAAGTTTCATCAAAGTCAATTACAGATCATTCTCGTGATATTAGAGTTTTGCATATAGGCTAAGACATTTCCTTCATAGTTTGTTTATTTTTTTTATAACAATATATTTTCATGAGAGTTGTGGAAGTCAAGTTGATTACTCTTCTTCTAGGTCCTGAAAAGGTTCCTCTGTTCTTGTTGATGGGAGAACCTCAGTGTGAGAAGCTCTTCGATATAATACCCCACATTCTGTCATACTATTCAAAGCTAAAGAAGCTAAGTCCCTCTACCCATCCAATTCTCCTGGAATCTGCTTCTCCAGGATGGTTGTTGACACACACTGATCTCCGATTTCCTGGAAAAATCTGCTGGGCTCAGAATCCTCATGATGGATCTCCACTTCTTTGCATTGCTGATTCTGGGCATCATCGCATCATCATAGCAACAGTCGATGGGAAAGTGAAGGTTGTACCCTGGACAGTGGCAGCACTTCTATTCTTTTATAATGGCATACATGTGTTTATCATGAATTCTTTTGGCATTTTCTATATTTTTCATAGCACATTGTTGGAAATGGAAAGAAAGGGTTGCTGGATGGGAGCTTCAAGTCTGCCATGTTCAATAGTCCTCAGGGTCTTGCTTATGTTCCATTTTCATCTTTGTATGTTGCCGACACTGAGAATCATTGTATTCGTCTGGTGAGTGGCTAGACTTTTTGCCTTGCTCAGTTGTATTAATATGGCATCCATCATGAAGGGTGTATGAAGGAATTTCTTCACCTTGCAGATTGACCTTCATTCAGAGGAAGTTAAACAAGTTGCAGGGACAGGAGAGAGAGGGACTGACCTAAGAGGAGGTCTGAAGGAAACTAAGCAAGCTCTTAGTTCCCCTTGGGATATCTGTGCTGTTCCACAACTCCATCTCCTCTTCATTGCTATGGCTGGAAGTCACCAGATTTGGACTTTGAATCTTGTGTGAGTTTGCTGAGACTTCATTGCTGATAGTAAACCTGTACTTTTGTCAAATATTGAGGCCTTTACATTTCTCTCTCCTTTCTATTCATAGGGATGGGAAATGCCAAAGTTTTGCTGGATCTGGAAATGAAGAGAACAGGAACACAATGTACCCAACAAAGGCATCCTTTGCACAGCCTTCAGGGATCTGCTACAGTCAATTGTATGTTGTTCCATTTAAAATATACGTGGTTGCTTTTACTAGTAACTTGAATGCAATGTTACCTCCCTTTTTTAAAGTATCTGATGAATAAGGAGCCTTTACTTGCATAAGAGTTGTATGTTTGAAATGTGGTGCACTGGATTGAATAAATTTTATTTTATTACTTTATTATTCCAGATGTGTTATGTAACTGTGTAAGCATCCAAGATAAGTTCTTATTGGTGGCAATGAAGATTTAAAAACAAATGCAATGAACTGATTAAGGAAAATAAAAGTTGTTATTAATCTAAGCAGCATAAGGAATGAAGCCTCTTCCAATCAATATGCTCCTGTTATGATTCCTCTTTTAGCTTGATTTTTGTCACTCCAAGGTAGACCTACTTCAAAAGAACAATGTGGTACTAATAAAATACTGGTGAATTCATAACTTTGTTTGCTTGAGTCTCTTGACAGCTGTCTTCTGATAAATACAAGGGTGGTTCCAATTTGGCCTGCACTTTTCCTTGTTGTGGGTACAGGAAACTCATGTAGGTTTAGTGTTTGAGGCAAAGTTAGTGTAACATGTCAGCAAAAGCACTTTGTCCTTTGTTGTGGCATTCAATGTTGTGAGAATTAAATTTAATGGTGTCACCAATTTTCTCATGTAATGCAGACAAAGGTGTCATCGTTAGGTTTTTGATAGATGAGAATGTGAGAACTGCTGAAATTCAAAGTTGTTTAGCAACAGTTTCAGGGTGAATGTCTGACACATTCAACAGTGTTTCAAAGAAGCAAGATGTCAATGGGAGCTGAGAAAGTGTAACAAATGGGCCTCAATGCTCACAGTAGCACATCTTTCAACTGCATACTGCACAAATGATAATAGGTACTCCATGTGATATGCTCTGGAAAGGACTCCTACATCCACCATTTCTTAGGGCCACTTGACCCTTCACTGGCAGGCCTGGGAAATTCTTGGGCTGACTTCCTTTTGTAGAACACCTGAATGGAATGAAGTTTAAGTTTAAGTAGTATGACATTGTCAAGGAGAAAGTCCTCAAATGACTGCACACCCATTTAGGAGACTTATTCACTGCAGGTGTAAATGTCCTTCCACATTGATGAGAGAAGTGTCTTCTTGTAAAAGGGGAGTTGGTTGCAAAATAGGATAAGTTTAAAACACATGAACATAATTGCATGTCCTAGGAGCATAAAGTCCAGGTCAAATTTGAACCACCCTGTAGTTCAAAGTAGTGACTTGAATTGAACTGTTTCTTCTGTTTTGTGTCCAATGGATTTGTCTTTGAATATAACTGATTCTTCCTTTTGGAGGATGGATTTAGAGGAAAATGAGAAAATGTCCACATTGCAGGTACCGGTCCTTATTCATAGCTGACAGTGAAAGCTCCAGTATTCGTTGCATCAGTTTGGATAATGCCTCTGTGAAAGGAGTTGTTGGTGGATCCCGTGACCCAAAGGTATGTTAGTTAAGTACAGTAGCCAATAAAAAGGCATTCTGGACATTTGCACTGAGGTCATTAAGTGAGAAACTACTCCATCATGCTATGCAAACTATACCATGCAATTTCATTCTCATGATAAGGCAAGTGAAATAAATGTATGTCTAGTAGCTGCATCCTATGATAAGGAGCCAGTTGAATTTGAAAAGCTGAATTGTTTTGTTCTCTGAATGAGAAATGAGTCCCTCATACTCTATGCCAGTCATTTTATGGTATTATCTGCAGAGTATGTATAAAGGTGTCCCTATCTTCCTTTATATTCCCAAAGGACTTGTTCTCGTATGGGGACATAGATAATGCAGAAGGAAGTCAAGGTGTGAAGCTACAGCATCCCCTGGGTGTTACTTGCCATGGTTCAAAAGTCTATGTGGCTGACACCTACAACCACAAAGTTAAAGTGATTGACATGGAGAACAGGTCTTGTGAAACACTGCTGGGCAATGGCAGTCGAGGGGATGCAATTGGGGAGTTTGCATCAACAATGGTATGAACCTATGTTCATTGAAGAATGGCATGTAGGGCTACTCTAGGTTTTTGTCAGTAGAAGTGAATTCCTGTTACTTCCTTCTGCTTTTTTTTAGCTGAACGAGCCTGGAGGGCTTTGCATTTCTCCTCAGGGCCATCAGTTGTTCATTACTGATACCAACAATCATTCAATCAAAGTTGCTCATTTGGGTGCTGACAGTCTTCAAAGGGTAAGGTTGATCCTCACATCAAATATGATCTATCAGAAATTTCTTGAGATCTTCATCAGTAGAATGCACTTCAAAACTCCACTCCAGAGCAAAAAAAAAAGTGCTTGTTTGTGTAGCCTAAATTTACTCATGTGACTTTTTTATTTTCATGAAAACAGCTGGAACTGACCTTCCCAGTGTCAGATACCTCAAGAGGTGACACAACAGATAGAATTTCTGATCAGGTGACATCTCAGGAAACTGTTTGGGTGTCGCCACATGGAAAAGTTGTCATCATCCCTAAGTTGCAACTTCCAGATGGCATTCATTTGAATCAAGATACCCCATCCAAGTGGATTCTCTCTTGGCAGAACAAAAGTAAGAACATTCCAATGTCTGTCATGGATGCTCCCTGTATGTCATTGAAAAACAAGATCATATCAATCATTCTGAGTGGGTTTTTTTTTCTCATCTCCCTTAATCCAGCTCATTCTGATGAGGAAGGAATCTTCATGGATGGGGATGAGATCCAGATAGCCATTCCATCAGAAGAAGGCTCTTTTCCTATGAAGCTCTTGTTTGAGATCTTCCTCTGCTCAGACATTGATCGTGCCTGCCTTCTCAAAAGAATCAACTATGGCCTTGAAGCACATGTCAAAGAAGGAGAGACACAGATTGCAAGTCTTCATCTGCCAATTGTTGTGTTTGACCAGTGATAAACATAGCATTTTATGTCTTCTTCCATTCGAATCTAAGCGCTTTCTTCCTCAGTACAAATTTGTCCATTCCCTCTTTCTACTTCTTCCAAAGAAGCTGTGTAGTATTTGGCAAACCACCAGATAGGCATATGAGGTGCAACATATGATTACTGGAACTGGAGTTGAGTGATGTTTGGCTTCCTTGATAATATGGTCCTAGTTTTGAATTTCTTTTGAATTTATTATGTCCATAAACACTCCCATCAGAGTAGTGTATGCCCTATGGCTATTTGAAACCAAATATCAAGGTAGACCTACTCTGAATTTGTTTCTTGATCAAGAGAATGTCTTGACAGGTAAGGACAATTTCATGAGTGTTGACTTTCAGTGTTGTGGTAGTTCATATTTGGCAGGAAAAGAATCTCAGTCATCCTCTCATCTTTTCATGTTGATGTTGTATTGTCAAAGATCCCGGTTGCATAATACAAAAATAAAAAGGGCTGTAACAAGCTAGTCATTGTAAAGCCAATGGAACAAAATGGTTTGCAGTCTGATTATTTTCCATTTTCTATAATTCTGGGCATGGGAGTCACAGAATATCACACTTTCTTAGCCTCCAGCCTATCTTGTATGAAGGGTGTTGCAAAAGTACCAATAATGCATTTTTTTCATTACCAACATCACAAATAAAAGAAACACATGTACCATTTCTTTGGTTTTCTCTGATGTGCTCACATTCATCTCATCTTTTCCAGAGATCCCACAAATCTTCAACAATTTCTTGTTGTTTTGTTCCATTGTTTTACAGGAGGGAAAGTTATGTCAAGGGATTATTTCATATCATGAACCATGTTCCTAGCTTATCCACATGTTTTTTTTTATGCCTCTCTCTTCACTAAATCAGCTGGTTTAGCTGACTGGAAAGAAGAATGAATTTCTACTGGTAATGGAAGTCTTCATGCATCAAGTTGTTCTCAACTAGTGACCCAGCTATCCTGGAATTGGTAGGGTATACATAGAGATCTGAAATTCTCACAATTCTTTTAGGTCAAGAATTTATCCAAAGTAAATTTGGTATGGTGTTAAATGCAAATATAAGAAGCAACTATGTTGAAATTTATAATGAACTTTCATCTTGAATAGATCTGTTTGACCACACCATATGCCTGTGTCCACTCCATTTCAGAACCCAGTTGTCTTGGAGATCACTACCACATTTTTGGTCTAGCCATGAATTAATGCCTTTTATTGCAAGTCCATTCTATTTAAGTTCAGCTTTCCTTCTATTGGGCTGACTGTCACAGAACCAGGTCTGACAATGTCATGATTTTTTTTAGCTTGGACCAGGTTAACTGATTCAAGTCAGACCTTTTTCCATCAGCTGCTATACTTTCCACTTCAATTGAAGTAAGAATGGTGCTTGGAAGCTTACATCCATGGACCAAATTTTTTTTTTAGAGTTTAAAATTGTTTAAGGTGCTCACTATCTTTTAACACTATCTTCAAATTTCCATAGCTGACTTTCCCTTGACTTATTCCATAATGAACACCCAACCCAGAATAGCTGAAATGAGTGCAAAAGAAAAGTACATTTAAAAAATGTATCCACATGTAAAAATGTGGTTTCATATAAGGGTTCTAAGTAAATTTCCAAAGTAAAAAATAAGGAATAACTTGGACCTACCCAACCAAAACACTGCATGGCCTCTATGCTGCAAAGTGGAGCTTCTATTGAGTCCCACCTTCATGTAGACGTTAATTTCAGTTGAAGAAATGCTTATGTTCCACAAAAAAAGCATTTCTTAATAGTACCACTTCATATAAAGTATAGATTTTCTAAATGCAACAGACCCAAGACCCATATTTCATTCCAGTGAGATCTCTATTCTTAACCCATTGGCAGTTAATTTATTTTCTCAGGATTCTACTCTTCCATGTCAAAAATGTTGTTGGAGCATGAAAGGTGCAGAGAAAGATGGCTGTTTTTTTGTTTGTTTTTTTTTTAGCTTTTTTTGTTTTCAAAGCTATTGACAGAGAAACTGGGAAAAGTTGATTATTTAGAAATTTGATTACCTCAAAAGAGAGCAAAAGAAATGGTTCATTTTCATTTCCATTGGAAATTTTTTTGGCTTTACTTTCTTTTTTTTTCAGTTCAATGGGGCTGGAAAAAAATTTAACCAAATTTTTAAAAAATCAAGTGGTTTTTTGCCAGCCTTAGTGTAAACACACCTTTTCATTATTTGAACAACAAAAATATTGCAGAACATATTTATAACCAATATTTCCTGCAACATTATCAAGGGATGCTAAAGTTTGTGATGATGTGACTGAATGAGGCTGTTTCCTCCCTGACATCTGACATTGTCAGTTTCACAGTGCCTTGTAATGGATTCTGCAGTGGGCTAGATGTGCCACTCAATGAATTTCATCTGTCCTTGAATGATCAGTTTCATCTCACCATCCTGAGGGGATGGCATTCAAATGTAGTGCAAAAAAAAGCATAGGTGAATGGACAAAATAAATGTCATTCTCCCTATGGGAGAATTAAACTGAAAAGATACTTTTGACTAGGAAATTGGGTATCTTAGAATTAGATGGGGTGAGGTTTCACAGTTGAGTCATGGTGTGACTGCAAGACTGAGACTACTGGATCTTCAAAGAATCTTATAGGCTTAGTTTTGAATCCAATGAGAAGAGTGTTCTTTTCTTGAAGTCTCAAACCAATATTATGCATGTAAACAATGCATCCATGACAAGATGGAGACAATCATGCAGAATTGCGATCTATCATACTGGTCTAGCTCCCAATCTTTTCAATTGCAAAAACTTGGCAAAATCTGAAGTTTTGTCTGTGAGGAAAAAGAAGCTAGCAGACATTGGTTTTCTGTGCAACATAAATTTGAAATCTCGTTATTTCTGTGAGATGTTGGATGCCTGGCATATGATCATGGTCCTATGTGCTAGCTTCTCGTGGGGTTCCATGAAGGGACAGTATCATCTCATGAAACTGAAATTCATTCATGTAGAAATGAAAATGTCAACACTAGAGGGGTTAATATCTTTCTGATCATCATGTGCCATAATTAGTTTTGGTTTATTGTGTTGAATTTGAGATTTTAAAAGCCTTGAAGTATAAGGTGGCACAAAAGCTCTTTAACATTGTATGATACTAGGTCTGGGCTCCCATTAGCTGCAAAGCAGCTAATGAGGTGTTACTCAACATTCCATCAATAACTTTTTGGTGTACATCTATTATAAGCTGTTGGAATTGCCACCCCTTCCTCCTTACATTGAAAAAGGTCAAAGGATTTTTGGGCAACCTGTATTTTGCTTTATTTTGATTTTTGAGCAAAGAGATCATTGTGTTTTTCTTAGTGAGCCTTCAGTAATATGCTTATACAATTTCCCAAGTATGTGTCTATACATTGCACAATTTTTAAAACTTGGAACATGGTAAACTTGTGATGATGTGATGATTGATCAGACTATGAAGGGAAAAAATAACTGATTTTTTTCCTTCGCATTCCGGTCAATATGAGTCAGTGATCTGGTCAATGATCATCTTCCACATTCCAATTCTACCACATTTGCAATTGTCATTGTGATACAGTCACAGTGAATGGGAAGCTAACATGTGACATTCTGAAAGTCCTTGTGAGTGAAACTTTGACCATTCCTTGAAGCCTGTGTGCTAAACTTTGCTTTGAATACTTTCACTTGAGAAATAGTTGTATGCATAATTTCAGTTCCCATTCCACTTCACTCAATTGCATTGATATCCTTGGGATTCCAGAGAATATTGAATAGTGTGATAGTTGAGGGAAAGGATTGTAATTCAGAATTTTTTTTAAATTGCAAATAAAGAACTTTTCTCACTGCAAACTCTGTATTTCACATCTGATAGATTCTGAAGTACAGAATGTATCAATACTCAGTATTCACCTTCAGTCATTCACTCATTTACAAAGTGTGCCCTTGGTAAGGGTCAAGATTCTTCGAGCTCAAGTTGTTTTGAACTTCAAGGCCATTCACACTCATAACATTCGTTAGATGCTTTACCAAAGGCATGTTCCTTGCCTCAGTTGGACTCTGTTTTGAAATGCATATAACCATATGGTCAGTTTGAAGTAGGATGCCGTCCACCCAAAATTTCACTCTTCTGACTAATTGGCTAGGAAAGTCACCAGGGTTGGATGACGTGCTATCAGAAGTGTATATTGTATGCCTCAGAGATACTACAACTTCCTTGATTCCTTTTGTGAGGCCGAGTATCCTAGCTGATGGAGGAGCCTCATTGCTCCCCTCTGCGAGGTACCTAGCCATGTTTCGACTGCGGAAAAAAACCTAGAGATTTCCTTGGTTAAATATTCCTAGGAGTAGACGAACCAGATCTTGCTGATAACTCCTCAGCTGTGGAAAATGCCTCTGTCTTCATTCCTAGCTTTATTCAACTCCTAGGAAAAAGCTAGGCATTTATGTAGTCGAAACACAACAGTTATTCTTCTGTATCCCACTGCCCTCAGTCTGCGAATATGTGGCATGACGGGGAAGTGCGTAGTCTCCTCACCTTCAAATAACACAACTTACAAGCCATTATGGATGGCACGGCTCACAATCGAGACAGAAGTAGACACCAAAAAAATTACCGGAAAAGAATCCTTCACTTCAGTCTTGCCATACACACTTTTGAAATCGCTTATCCCAAGTTAATGCAGTCGCGGTGTTCACTATTGCCCTGCCAATAAATTAATATTCGTCCCTTCTCCGTGAAAACTTGTGTCTCAAGAAAGAGGCCAGGAGAAGGAACTCGACAGACACTTCTTCCATGGTGGAGGAGATTGCCTTCATCAAGTTAAAAATACTTGGGAGCTGACCCAAGTCAAAACAAGGGAGGTCCCTTTGGTGCCCTGCTGGGACATTCCCAAGAATCGTCTGAAACCACTTGGGACAAAAAAAGAAGTCAGATTTGGGTCAATTCTAAACCCAATTAAGAAACAGAGATGCCCGAAAATTTTTCTTTTTAAGTCGCTGATGTATCTCTTGAAAGGGGAGTCATGAAAACATGACCGTGTTTGGTGACTTCGAGACATCCTTGTCTTTCATTACTTTTATAGCTTCTCTCCTAGTTAAGCTAGATAGATTATTTATGGCTCTTTTGCAAGGCCTGCTATTCACCTTTCCAA